GGAAAACCGGTTAAAGAAGTAGCCTATTTTTCAATCCAGGTCATAAACCATCTTTGAGCAAAATTTCGTTTTCAAACAGGTGGAAATTCTTAAAAAAGTAGCCTATTTTCCAGTCTAGGTCATAAGCTATCTGTGTGCAAACTTTCATGCAAATCAGTTAAGTGTTTTCCAACATAGGTCATAAGCTATCTCTGTGCGAAATGTCATGCAAATCTGTTCAGTCGTTTCCGCGTATTAATTTAATTAAAACTTTTTTAACAGGTGGCAAATCTTCCAAAAAATTAGCCTATTTTTCACTGTAGGTCATAAGCTATTTGCTTGCAAAATTTGATCCAAATCCGTTCAGACTTTTCCCCGTATTAATTTAATTAAACTTTTTTAGCAGGTGGTAACTCTTAAAAAAGTAGCCCATTTTTCACCCTAGCTCATAAGCTATCTGTGCGAAAACTTCCATGCAAATCAGTTCACTCATTTCCGCGTATTAATTAAATTAAACATTTCTAACAGGTGGCAACTCTTAAAAAAAGTAGCCTACTATCTAACCTAGGTCACAAGCTATCTGTGTGCAAAATTTCATGCAAATCCGTTTAGTCGTTTCCGCGTATTAATTTAATTAAACTTTTTTAACAGGTGGCAACTCTTCCAAATAATTAGTCTATTTTCCACTGCAGGTCATAAGCTATCTGCTTGCAAAATTTCATGCAAATCCATTCAATCGTTTCCGCGTATTAATTTAATGAAACTTTTTTAACAGGTGGCAACTCTTAAGAAAAGTAGCCTATTTTCCAATCTAGGTTATAAGCTATCCGTGTGCAAATTTTCATGCAAATCCATTCAGTCGTTCCCGCATAATAAATAAATGAAACTTTTTTTAACAGGTGGCAACTCTTAAAAAAATAGCCTATTAACCAATCTGGCCCATAAGCTATCTGCGTACAAAATTTCATGCAAATCCGTTAAGACGTTTCCGCGTGATGATTTCCCAAACATCCAAACATACAAACTTTCACATTTATAATATTTATATTATATTATAAGATAAGATTAATTTAATTAAACTTTTTTAGCAGGTGGTAACTCTTAAAAAAGT